AGCCTCGGCCACCGCCCACCCTTCGTCAACCCAGAACCCATCTTCGCCTCGACCTAGGTCAGAGCTGTCGCAGCAGTCTAGAATGGCTGCACTACCTGACTCTACGGCGACTTCTAAGGCCTTCAATTCCATCTGATCTGTATTGCAGCCTGCCGCGATCAACAACTTCATAACGTCAGTGTGCCCTGCCTCCGCAGCAGCTGCGAACACTCGATCGCCCCACTCACCCCACTCGAGGTCACATGCGTCATTGGACCAATCCAACAACAGATTCAGTACTTGGACATTCCCCAGAGCTGCGACAACTTTCCATGCTCCGTTGCTCGGCTCCCAACCGCAGTGTAATGCCTCCATGGCGCGAGGAACCGACGCCACGATATGGGATTCCGCGGTGTTCCGTGGTTTCCCTTCAAACAACACCGTTCGCCACGACTTTAAAACCATCCCTACAAACAAATACGGCTGCGGTCGACCGCCCGTAAAGGCAAATATCTCCGCACGCACATCCTCTTTGTACAACAGCAGTTCCAGTACGGCATCCTGACGGGTCCACCACTGCTGTTGCAGCAGAAAAATTAACAGGTCCAACAAGATGGATGAAGCACGGCAGGCAGGCGGGTCGTGTGGATGATTTGGCCATGTTAATTGCACATCCAACAGGTTTTGACAGAGGAACGACAATACGCAGAGTTAATCTTTGCGACACGAATGGGTAGCAGGACCTTCAAGAAGGAACCTATTTATTGAAATCTACATACTGCTGTAGCTGATCTTACACATAGTCTATATCCATACCAGTAGTTCGTGAATATATTCGAAATCTCGATACTGCTGTAGATGGACTAGTCTACACATGTAGTCTTATATCCAGACAGTAGTTCGTGAAGAAGGCATGATCCAAACGTCCAAGGTAATCTTACAGGACACATATTTCAACGTTCGTATCCTCACCGTTTCCTCTGCAACATCTCCTGGTGCGGTCTGTCCTGGTGCGGTCTGTCCTAGTGCGGTCTCGCGAGCGATGCTCTCCTGGTGGTGCGGTCTGCCGTTGGTGCTCCCGTTCGCTCGAACACTGTCGGCGCTGCTACTCATGTCGGCGCTGCTACTCTCCGAATGCACACCGTCATCTCCTCCGCACTCTTGTAGGAGTAGATGGAGAGACATACGGCGCTTGCGNCTGCAGATTTTATTTGCACGACGGTCGTGCAAATAGCGGTTGCCGGGGTCAGAGGGGGGTATACTGCTGTACCCCATCATGTTTCAATCGACACTTTGGGTACCTCATATTGTCAACCATGTTGTTCTTCGCGTTCAAACGAAAGAACACACAACCAAATCCCAAGTAGTCTGTTTTTTGTAAGATAGCTCTCGCACACACACCTTGCTTAGCTGTTGAGCTGGGGCGCACCTGCCGTACAGCCCAGCGGGAGATGGGTTCCACTCGGCAGCCGGATGGTTTGGAGGTTGGCAAAGGGAAGCCACTGCTGCAGCAGGTTGGTGGTGCCTGCGACTCTCTCACGCAGCAGGTTTTGAAGTTTGGAAGTTTGTTGCGCCCTCTGTGTGTGGTGTGGCTTAGTCTTTCCCTGATGCCCCTTTTTTGGCGGGGTCTGTGTTCCATGGCTCTTCCCTCTCTCCGTCACAGAGCCAGGAGCTTTGGGTGTGGTTGTCGTGCGAGATGCCAAACGTTTCCTTTGCCCCAGCCATCTCTTGCGTAGCCAGTTCAGTTCGTCCGGTGCTGGGTGTCTTGCTCGTTCTGCCCGACAGGTGCAAGCAGTTGTTGCGCCACTAGGGACGCACACCAACAGCAGCAGCAACCGCAGCAGCTCGTGTAGCAGCAGGCCTGAGGAGACATGTCCGGAATACGACAGGCATCTGGTGAGAGACAAAAGATAGAGAGAGCGTTCTCCCGGCGCTCCCTGCTGAGAGTACTTGTATGATGCCAACCGGCACAGAAGAAGCGGCAATCAACAGGAGAAAGGTCGTACATCGTACATAATGCGTGCGCCCAAGTTCTTCCCGCAGACACGCTGATGTAGATTGGTGCATGCACCACATGCCGTTGCCTCTCTTTTACTGCTGTGCAAAGGCGTTTGTATGCATCTTCGACGCCCCTCGGCTGTGGCCGGCTGCGCACGCAACCCGAGATGCTTCAAGCACGCACGGCGTGCATTGCCCAAGCCTTTCTCAACCTTGCTGTTGTCGTCGTCCGGATCGAAGTGTGACTCTCGGTCTGCAGCCGCCCTTTCTATGTGCGTTCCGCCGTTCGCAAGTATGTGAAAAAAATATGATCTTCATCTTGTTGTTGAGCCCGATTCCCGCAAGGGGTGATGTACATGTATGGCTGCTCGGGGAGCGCTGTAGTGTAATTCATGACGAACGCAGCTCGGTCATCGTTTGCAACGCGATGAAATCGTTTGCAGCAAGTTCGACTTGATTTATCCCGGACTCTCTTATCGGTCGGTCGCGTGATGAAATTCCACCCCTCGAAAACAACAACAAGCCAGCGTGGTGGCAAATGTTGCTCAGTGTTTTCAAGTCGAAAACTATTCTGGAATTGTTGGTGACCCCAGGTTGTTGTTGCGGCAACAAGTAATGTTTAATTGTCGTCCTGAAGCAGCTATGAGCTCCTCTGCCCCCGTGTGTATCCTATCTTCATCTACCTCTGTGTGTCTTGACAACAGGCATGGGCTCTCCAGCAAGATCTCGCGGACGTGGTCGGCACCCGAGCGCTGTACGTGGCCGGTGAGGACCTCATGGGAAGAACATGTGTCGTCTTCAGCCCAGACCTGGCCTTCCTGCAACAACAACAATCCCCCGCCGCCGCCGCTGCCGCCGTCTCTGCGCCACAAAGAAACCCGCGGAAGAGGCGGAGCAACTTCGCCTCGACAACAACCGGCGGCACCACCAGCGATAGTGTCAGAGACAATTCGCCGTTCTCAAGCTCTACCTCTTCCTCCTCCTCCTCTGCGAGGAGGTCGCCCCCCGTGCCACGCGTGGCCGGTGCTCTGGAAAAGGCGGCGGCGGTGGGCGCCTCTCGTATCTCCATCAGCAGAAAAAATAGCTCCGCTGCTGCTGCCGGCGCTTCAAGGGCGAACGCGGACCCCGCGACAACGGCAACGACTGTCACGGGCCAAAGAAGCAGCAGCAACGACGACACAGCAGCAGCAGCAGCAACAGCAGCAGCAGGGGCTGCAATAGCGTTGGAGAGCAACGTCGGATCGGCGGCGGTGGAGCGATTGCTGCTGCACTTCGTGAGGTTGTTGGACGAGATCGCGGGTCGAGAGTATGTGCTACTGCTGTGCGGAGGGGGATGGGGTGGGTGGCTGAGCTGGGGGAGATTCAGCATGCTGGGAGAGATGCACAGCCTTTTGCCCAGGAGGTGAGATGGGCCTTATGCATACAACAACAATGCTTCAGTTCACAGCAATGTCTGCTAAATAGTTCAAGACTGGGTTTATTGTTGTTGATGGGGATGCGTTGAAGCACACCAACGTCTTCTTCCACCGTCGTACCAGACAAATATTGCAGGGGTAGGGGTTGAAATCTTACTCGAGCCGCCTTCGTGTGTGCGTGCGCCAAGCAGCAACAATCAATTCGCAAATACCTCCAGTGTACCGTCGAATTTGACCTCTTATCATCTAACAAATAATGTCTTAGAATCAACCATTGTGGGCCCACATGCGTGTATGGAGTATCTGTTGGTCGCTACCAATTTGTTCTAGATCGTATGAACATGGGTTATGTTAGTAGATAGAAGATATAGTCTCGTAGAATCCGTGCCCTTTTGGTTTCGTTGTCGGGGAGAAAATGGAAAATGGCACGCATTCAGAGTAAATCTACCGCCATCTGTCCGGGAGCAGTGCTTTTATGTAGGTGATTTCCGCCCTCGACTTACTCGACTTGTAGTATAGAAGAGGAGCATCCCATCCTTCCACACACTGGAATGTCAGCCTGTGTTGTTACACGTTTGCGGTGCTTTCTCACGGTGAGGAGACCCTAGCAAGAGAAACATTTCCCTCTGAAAATGAAAGAAAAATGGGACAACGTCGAGGGGTTGGGCGGTGTGTGCCGGTGTTGCTGCGTGCGTTGGTTGTTTTTGTTTCTCTCTCTTGTCCTCTCACACATATGCGTGCCTCTCGTGCCTTAACGTCTCAACGTCTCTCGATTACTTTTGAGTAGCTGTTGATTCTCGAGCAGCAATCATGGACGTATGTGCAGCGGGGATATCTCCCTTGTGGCGCTGGTGATAGGCTCAGCAAGCTGCTGCTGCGTGGTTGGGCCGGGTAATGGATACTTGGAAGTTATTGTCGTGCGTCTGTCGGGCGACTGAAATTTCTCACAACATCTAAGAAACGGCCTTGCCACTTGCCACTTGCCACTTGCCTCTTGCCACCGCGATTGGATTTTCTACAGCATAAGTTGGTATCCAGTGTTACTAACGTGGGTAGGTCCTGCTCAGGTTGGCGAATGCTTGAATTGTTGTCCAGCAGTAGGCCTACAGTAGTTCGCTGGTTGATGACCAAGAAAAGGTGTTCGGGCAGGTCTATCCGTGGGGTACCGCCGTGTATCTACCGGTGGGAGGACACTCACGACCTTGGTCGTGCGAGCGAAAAAATGGCGTAGACGACGCATATTACTCCCCCCTGTGTGCATTGATTTACAGCAGATTGCGCGACCACGCGCATTTAGTGGTTAATGTTCTTCTCTAGCGCACTCTTTCCCCTGCAGTATTCAACCACAACTATAGGCTGGTGGTGATCTTGTTTGGGATTGGTTGTACCTGGTGTGTTCGAACAAACGGAAACGACTCTGGTTTTGTCTGTCTTGTTCGCTATTTTAGGAACAACAGCCAGCCGGGTGAGGGCAGGGAAGGCTGGTGGTCCGAATTAGGGGTAATAGGTGTCCACGGGGTACACATGGTGCCAACAGCAAGAAAAAATCTGCATGGTCAGATCGTCCATTTATTCGGTCGAACTTTTAAAGCCGAACAGCTGGGTCGCGGTCGCGTGCACCTTGCATACAAATTTCATGAATCATACAAGATGTACGCTTGCTGCATACACAAGCTGCTCCATGCGAACAACCTTGGACATGGAGATACGAAAACCCGAGAACCCTGCCTGCCTCTCTTCTGATGATGATACATGTATGTACGGCATCACACCTTTACGACATGGCTCCCTTCCAAAGAGCATCCTCGCGTATTAACGCGATAAACGATGAGCGATACAAAATGGTCCAGGCGGGGTGGGTACCCAAAACAATCGGTTTCTTTTTTGGAAGGATGAGCGCGATACCATGGTACGGAAACGAACCGTACCGTGTGATTACACCAGGACAACCAATCGGCCCACAGCTGACTCGAACAGCCCAGCGAACAAACGCAACGAATCAATCATAAAAATTTCCAACCTGTGTGTCTGTGTTTGTTGTTGTTGTTTTTCACATTTCACATTAGCTCTACCGTCCACAAAAAAATGGGGAGCCCGTGGTCTCAAAACCCGGCACATACGACGCCGCGGGGAAACAAAACAAAAATAGGGTACAAACCACTCGGAAAAAGAAAACAAAATGATAGAAAGAAAAATACAGGTATCGTACCGACCGTTCGAGAAAAGAGCCCTCGGAAACCGATCAAAAGGAAACAAAAACAAAAATAGAGGAGGACGCTTCCCACACCCGCCACAAGAAAAAATCAAAGGGTAAAGTACCAGCTCCAGGCACTACGCACCAAGGCATGGGAGTAACGGAGCAAACAGGAGAAAGAGGCGACAGATGGGCAGATAGCCAGACGTACAAAAACAGATGCAACAGTAAAAGCGAGATCAAGGTACCCAACACAACAGAGAAGGCAGGGGGGTGTACTCATACTCATAGTCGTGCATGCCGTAGTCGTTAGACCATTGACCTCGCATCCCTACAAAGCCGGGACGGAGCACGCCGGGTTCTCACCGGACCAGGCTCTCACATCACCAAGCGCGAAGCGCCGTGAGA